GTACTGGGCTAGATGGACCTTTAGTCTGACCCGGTGCGGCCGTTCTTATGTTCTTATAATGTTTCTTAATTACAACTATCTTTAGATAGATTTTTTTCTTTTAAAAGTATTTTATCAAAAAAATCCGATTTAAATGAAAAAAATCTGATTTAAAAAAAATAATAATTGATTTTTATCCACCCTGCATAGGGGAAATATGAGGCATAGAGAAGGGAAACAGAAATGCACAGGGAAACCAACTACCGGAACCACAATTGTCTGCCAGAACTGAGCATTGAGAGGGTCCTCTCCAGGCTGTCTCCCATTCCTTGCCTTTCACAGTAGCCAGCCCATGGGACATGGCATGGAAAGGGCTTGTGGAGTTTTGGCAGTAATGCCATGGGCAGAAGGGGTGGGGGGAGCTGGGAGTATGCTACGCTTAAAGACATTGTCCTCTGCAGAATTCTAAGATTCTGAGTCACTTGTTCTAACCATAATCACAGTTAAAGGGGAAACTTCCCCGTTGTGCACTGGGAGTCTTAAATAAATGTTATTTGGTTGCAATAGATCCTCATTTAGATCTTGAAGTCAACAACAAAACTCTTGTTGACTACAGTGGAGCAGGATCAAGTCCTTGATGCACACAGGACTTGAATGTAGTATCAACATTTATATAGACATATGCTATTGTGGTACTCCTGTGACCTAGTAGTCAGTGCTACTGTCACAGGTGGGGAAGAGGAAGAGGTAAACATGTAGCTATTGCTGAGGCAAATATTTTTTGTTTTCTCAGTTTGTTGTTTTTGTAACTGTTTTATTTATTGTTATATTTGCCCCCGAGGTCACATTGGGAACAATTTAAATACATTTAAGATGCCTCTAAATGGGGTGAGAGGAGGAGAGTAGCAGGAAGCTGGATGCACACCCTGATCCTGCAAACACTTCTCCATGTGGGCTCAGTGGGACTACTTGTGTGTGTAAAGTTAAAACCTGTACGTAAGCTTTTGCAGGATCTGGGCCTGAAGGTGGAGCCTGGGGTTCTGTCTCATTTGTGGGAGAAGGCGGCATGCCTCCAGTCAGAATTGTCCTGTCCATAGGACAGATTGGAGCAACTGCCCCGGGCCCCATGCTTTGGGGGCCCCCATGCTTTGGGACATGGGGTCCAGGGTGGCCTGGGGGAGGCTAGCGGGGGCCTTGTGCCAGCAGCAGTGAATAACTCGGCTCCAGCCTGTACCGCTCTGCCCTGCCCCGTTGGCGTTGCTTGCGGGAGGGGGCGGAAGCCAGAAAGAGGTGGAGCAGGGGTTTGGGGGAAGGAGTGGAATGGGGGCAGAGCATGGGTGGAAAGGGGCGGGGGCAGGAGTGGAGTGGGGGCAGGACCTTGGCACCGGGGGGGGGGGTTGTCACAGGCCCTGCACACTCCTAGGGACAGCCCTGCCTCCAGTAGCCTTCCCTCCTGCCCCTCCTTGAACCTGCTCTAGCCACGTGGCTAGGAGTGACTGTCACTAGCTGTCTTACCAAACTCTGCTATAGAATCGGTTTTGTAACCACTGCCATCTCATCTTCATTTTGTTACAATGGTGAACAAGGTAGGTTTTTGTGTCTCTTTTGTAACACTTCAGCAACATATGGGGAAAATCTCCCATCCTCTCTCTTTCAGCCTTGTTTTAATTCAAACATGTTCCAGGATTCTTTGTTTTTAGTATTTAAATAGAATTATAGGCAGGTTTGAGAGCATCATCAATTACTAAGGTTGCCACACATTTCCCTTATAAGATCCTGTTTTCAGTTGCTTGAAACTCGGCCAAACTTTAAGAATTCAGGAATGCCACATTACCTCATGGGTGTCTGCTTCAGGCTGAAAAATTTTGGAAGATTTTAGCCAAAATGGTTCAGATGTTTCTGAGAAGAAGGCTGGCGGGGGAGAATGCATTGTTTTGCCCATATTAAATTCTGGTGACCTTTTCTTTGAACAGTGCTGGTGCCCCATGCTTTTGGAGCAGGGACTTGAAATTTGGCAGGGGAGAGGGGGGCCTTTGTGTCAGGGATGTGCTTTTTACATCCTTGTGAAAATCAGCTTGAATTTGGCCAAGTTATAAGCCTTTGGGGGAAAAAAATCACAATTCATACATGCTCAGTACGAACTTGGTAGAGCTTTGCAACTAAAAACTCTGAAAATTCCATCCATGCTGAGCATGCTTCAGCCAGGGGCTGAGCAGGACTTTCCTTGCAATTGCTGCTGTGTACTTGGGCCAGAACAGGCCAGATCTAGGTACTGGAATTGAGAGCAGGGGTCCCTTCTGTGCTCTCAATGCTCCCTTGTTGGCACCCAGGAAGCATGGAGGAGTAAGATGCCTGATTTGAGTGTAGAAGGGTGAAGAGCTGAACTGCATGTCTGTCTTTAGAAGAGTAGATTGGGACAAGAAGCTCAGGGGACTGAAGGCTGGCTGCGGAGGAGACTGGGAGTTGGGGAGGAAAATGGAGACCATCTTGTAATGCACCTTCACAAGGAGGCTGAATTAAGGTGGCCTGGGCAACCTTAATTTGAGGACTTCCTAACTTTTGTGTGCTTGACTTTGCAGTCTTAATGTTCTTTTACCATCGTTTGTGTGTGTAATATGATATATATAATGGATACAGAATAACTCGAACAATAGTTTAGATAACTGTGACTGATTAAATGTATTTCTTTTTTGGCATAGTATGCACCCGCTCTCAAGATCGTGAGTCTGTGTTTGCCATTGTGGGAGAAGATTTTACTTTTTCACCAAAAGTAAACGGAACTATAAGAGAAATTACCTGGATGAAAAACAAAGATAAAGCGGCTGAATGGGAACAGGATGCTAAGTCACCTGTGTATTATTATAGCTTAGCAGAAAGAGGAGTGCTTGAGACATCGTCTGGCAATTTGACCATCAAAAAGTTAAACATTGGTGATGCTGCAGAGTATGAAGCACAAGTTCTGCCTGTTGGCGTTGACCAGCTCCAATACACAAAATTTGTACTTGCCGTATTGGGTAAGTAGTGGATAAGCAGCAAAAACAACTTGCAACTGTTAATTTTTCACTTTTTAAGGTGACAACTGCAAACTATCACAATGTGAAGGAAAGATAAGAATAGTAAGAGGCCAATGTGGCTTCAGCAGGAGCTCTTTAATTACCTGAAAATCAAAAAAAGAATCCTACAAGAAGAGGATATTTTGACAAACTGCTAAGGAGGAGTAGGAAAGAATAGCATAAGCACGGAGGGACAAAATTAGAAAGGCTAAGAGACAAAATGTATTATACCTAGCAAGGGACATAAAAGGCAATAAGAGGTTCTTGAAATACCCTTTTGTTCGTCTTTCTCTTGCTCCTGATGTAGGTCCCCTTATTCTTGAGGGAATTCTGCACCAAAAAATTAAATTCTTCATATTTTAATTGTCCTAATAACAAAATATAATCACGCCAGTTTCAATTATTTTGGTAATTTTATTTCAAGATACCTGTCTGCAAGTGTGTTTGTAACAATATAGACAACAAAAAAGATTCAAATATTTTTTGACAAATAGATTCCTTACTAAGCATATTAATACAGAACTTTGAGTAATAATATATTTAAACTACATTATATAAACTTATTTCCCTCACCCCTCAGAAGCAGCGTAAGGCTTGAGGGAGTCAGGTCTGACAGAGGAGTTGAGGGAGAGGGAAGCAATTACTGGGAAGGAGCCTGGGTATGAACTTGGTCACTGGGTGTGAGTGGGAGAAGTATGGAACATGGTTCTTTTTTTCTGTGTGTGTGTGTGGTTGGGGGGGGGGGGAATTGTTAGGGAGCCTCTCCCATACAGACCCTGGCTGCCCCCGTCCCCATGCGTCCTTGCACCTTCCTGTTTCCCTGCACCTGCACTCAGCCACCGTCCTCCCCCCATGTGGCCCTGGACCCCCTACCCCTGTGGCCCTGTTGCCCCCACTTGCCCTTCTGAACCCCAGTCTGTGACCCTTCAGTAACTCCTTATGCCCCACGCTGTCTGTCCCCCCCATCCTATGCCTCCTGACCGGGTGCTGTGAGGAATGCAGCTTCTTCTCTTCCCTATCCACAGTTGGGGCTGTTCCTGCTCGGGAGCGGCTGCTCTGTGCTCTGACACCCCAGCAACCCCTGGTGGGCGAAAGACTGAAAGTAACTGCTGCTACTCTCTGGCAGAATGTATTTTCCGCAGAGAAAAAAAAATTCTGCATGGGAGATGAATTCTGCACATGTAATACAGAATTCCCCCAGGAGTAATCCTCTATTTAGCACAGAAGGAGAGCTAATAATTAATGACATCAAAAAGCCCAAGGTGTTTAATGCCTGTTTTGCTTCAGTCTTCGCTAAAAAGGTTGATGGTGACCAGATACTCAACACAATTATCTATAGTATCTCTATAGAGCGAAATTTCATGCTTGAACAATAAATGTATAGCAGTAGGAATATGCTACCAACCACCTGACCAGGATGTGATGGTGATTGTGAAATGTTCTGGGGATTAGAGAGGTTAAGAATGCAGGAAACGCAATAATAATGGGGGATTTCAACTATACTCATATTGACTGCTACATGTCCTCTCAGGAGGGGATGCAGAGAGAAAGTTTGCTAGACACACTAAATGACTGTTTCTTGGGGCAGCTTGTTCTGGAACTTGCAAAGGAAGAGACAATTCTTCATTTAATCCTAACTGGAACACAGGCTTTGACCCAAGAGGTGAATATAGCTGAAGTCCTCAGTAATAATGAGCATAATGTACTTAAATCTAACATCCTTGTAGGGGAGGAAATACCAAAGAAACCGACTAGAATGGCATTACAAAAGGAGAACTGCACAAAAATGAGGAAGCTAGTTAAAAGGAAATTAAAAAGAAAAGTCACAAGGCATGAAATGCCTGCAAACTGCATGGAGACTATTTAAAAGCACCCTAAGAGCGGTTCAAACTAAATGTATACCCCAAATAAAAAAAACTGTAAGAAGACCAAAAATGTCTCTATGGTTTAACAGAGTAAAAGAGGCAGTTAGAGGCAAAAACGCATTCTTTAAGAATTGGAAGTCAAATCCTACTGAGGAAAATAGAAAGTATTAATAAACTCTGGCAAGTCAAATGTAAAAGTGTAATAAGGCAGGTGTAGAAAGAATTAAGAATAACTAGCTAAAGACACAAACTAAGAGCAAAAAATTTAAGTACCTCAGAAGCCTGCCAAACAGTCAGTGGGGCCACTGGACAATCGAGGTGCTAAAGGAGCATTTGATGAAGACAAGGCCATTGCAGAGAAGCTAAATGAATTCTTTGCCTCAGTATTCACTGTGGAGGATGAGAGGGAGATTCCCACACAAGCCATTCTTTTAAGGTGACAAATCTGAGGAACTGTTCTATTGACACCTCAATCTGGAGGTGGTTTTGGAACAAACTGATAAATTAAACCATAGTAAGTTACCAGGACCAAATGGTATTCACCTGTCATGGAATGCATCATTTACCACCAGACGGGCACTTCTTCCAGGTTTCTCTGGAGATTAGCTTGAGGAATTGCTTTCACTTTTGGTCACACCTCTCCCCAGCACCAGTGACAGGGTGTCTCAGTCAAGACTGCCTGATTATGAAACTTGACCCACTTGATACAAAGGTAATAAGTAACTTTTCTGGGGCCAGCAACTTGAAACAGATTATTTTTTGCAACAAAAATTATGACAGAGCTATAGATAAGAGACAGATGAGAAAATGAGAAATGTAAAGCTCAAAATTCCAGTGGAGCAGATTTGTACGAATTTTTTTTTTAAACTGCCAAGAAATCTGTTCCTGTGATTGCTGATTTCTCACTTGCTCCATTTGTGCAGTCTGCAGCTAGGACATCCTCACAACAGCAACTGGCAGAGTTTTGAGCACCACTGGTCATAAAGTGCTCCCACCCTGGTTTCTTTATGGTAGCTGTCTAGAAAGTGATGGAACTGCCATTGGTTGTTTTTGTTTGTTTGTTTGTTTGTTTTAAAGTCCTGAGTGATTTTGACTCTGACTATATTCAAGATCACTTCCTTGAGGCATCTACTGATGGGTATTTGCACTCACATACACAACCTGATTTTTTTCAGTGCCACTATTGTGACTTGGGTTGGTGGTGATCACACCTTTGTTATTGTAGTGAATCTTTACACTGGACAAGAGACAAACTGAGCTAGTTTGTGATCTCAGATACACAGGTGAAAATCTGTAGCAACTAAGCAGAAGGGAATTGCTCTGTATTTACAGTGATGTGACTGAGACAGAAATTGGCCTGATTTAATAAATAAATCATACACACATGTTCATCGGGTCCACTTGAACTAAAGAAAAGCTTTTCTAGATGCTAGTAGCAGTCAATCCCTTATCCTTTTTGTGGACCCAGTCGCTAGCGGGCGGCAGCAACAGCACCCACGCACTTTTGTACCTACCGTTCTCAGCTGCATGCTTAAAATGGTGGGTGCCACATTTTGCGTCTGGTGCTGCTCCAGCATTAAAAAAAAAAAAAAAAAGCTTATAAAAATAGTATTCGATCATTAGCATCTGAGAACTGCAGAGTCAGCAGCAGCGTTTTCTCCTTATTGGTTAGTAAAATACTTAGCACGCTTTGGGCCTGGAGGCCCATATCCTACAAGTTCCATGTAGGTGGTTCTCTGTAGCTTTGCAAAACTCATTGACTTTAGTGTCTGCTGTGCAGATGCAGGGGTCCACCTCCAAGGATCAACTTACAGAATTGAGGCAGTAGAGGTAATAATCTATAATAATAGTAATTTCTATTGTAAGATGTCTTGGACCTATGCTGTATACCATTACTATAGAATATTGTTGTACCTTTTCACAAGGGAAAGCAGCACCATAGGGCAGAGAAGCAGAGTCTCACCTTAGGCCTTTAAAGAGTGGAGGGTTGATCCATCAAGGCCTCCCTACAAAAGAATTCCCATGGAAATAATTGGGAATGCTGCATAGTACAGGAGGCTGCACTTTCCACAGGTTGGAAACACTCGTAGGATTGGTCCTATTGTGAAGTAAAAAATAGCAACATCTGCACTTGAACCTGCTACTTTGAAAGCTGGTGTCCTGTTAAAAGAGCTGTGCCCCCAATATAGTCTAAACACTTAAGTTTGTTGTGTGTGTTACAGAACTGTAAGTATTTTTATTGCTGCTTCGTGACTGAACCAAATATCCCCTATGCAGCTGGATTATGTTTTAAACTTTACACCCACAAACAGCTAGAAAAAGTGCTCTTGAAATGCAAAACAATGTGAAGTCAAACTAATGTAGATTTTTTTTCCCCCATCCAGATCCTCCTCCACCATCAGTATTAAATTGCAGCATCACTAATGGTCAGATTAGAATATCATGTGAGATACAGTTCTCAAAGGATGTGCGCTACAGTTGGTATCGGGATGACAGAAAAATTGACGCTAATAGTCCTGTTCTCGAACTTAAAGGAAATGTCAACCCTTCAGAGAAAGTTTTGTGTGTCAGAGAAGTCTCCAAAACAAAAATCAACAACTCAATCTCTCTGAGCACATGTATCCCAGAAAGTAAGTATGTGGGTAAAAAGGTGTATGTAACGTGAGAGGGGACCAGGGACCGAGCTGGGAAATGGGATGTTAATTCAGACTGCAGTGTTCCCCTTGATGTCTCAGGAAATTATGCATAGAGCATAAAAGGAAACAAAATGCAAAAGTCACTGTAGCGGAGTTTGTATGGTGTTAAAAGTGACTTTAGAGCTGGTGAAAGGCGCCAGATTGATAGTTAGCCCATTGCACAGAACATATAATGCAGGGGTAGCAGTAGTGTAAGCTGACAGCTGCTACTGGGAATGAACTACTAAGGGAGAAGAATGAGTTCAGTCTCCGTGGACAGAGTAAATCTTGGCCTCTCTGCTGAACCTGCCAATAAGGGGGTTTATTAATGTCAGTTATGATGGTGGTCTTGTGTTGTGTCCTGTAAGAACTGGACTGAGTCTATCAAATCATTTCACGTCACCTGCCAAGCAGTCATCAGAGGCTAATGATTTCAATCACTACTGACCTGGTCTGGATTTGCACTGGTGTTTTAGAAAATTGGGGATGGAAATATTTTCTCTCATCGTCGCATGTGCAAATTCTGTGTTTTAATTAACTCGTGAAACTCGGGACCACAGAGTGTCACACGGGGTTTGTCTACACTACAGAGGCACAGGTATGGTGCTGCAGCTATGCTGTTGTAGTGCAGACACATGCTGCAGCAGTGGAAAGGGTTGTCCCGTTGCTGTAATAAACCCATCCCCTCCAGAGGTGGTTGCTCGGTCAATGGGAGAATTCTTCGATTGGCCTAGCGGTGTCTACACCGGGGCTATGGTCAGCTTAACTATGTCTCTCAGGGATGTTGACTAGGCCTGAGGCCAGGATTAGACATTTATGGGAATAAAAAGAATATCTACAGTTATATTGGATAGAATAAAACATGTATATAGAACATAACCACTCCTGCTTTAGGGGCATAAGCCAATTACTAACTGACAGGAGTTAGGAAGAAACTTCCTCTATGGGAGGTTATTCCATGGCTGTTCAGCATGTTGATTTATGTCCCTTCCTCTGAAGCATCAGGAACAAGCCATTGGTAAAAACAGCAGGCTGGACAGTGTACTGTGATCTGGCATGACAATTCCTACATTAAAAAATAGAAGCTTTTGTTAACTTTCTAAAGATAGGAAGCCTTTAAAATAGCTTAAGCATAATGTAACATACCATCATTGGGCCAAAGTCATCCCTGATGTAATTCCGCTGGAGCTAGTGGGGGTGACACCAGTGACTGAATTTGGCCCAATACTGTTTTCAAATGATTCCTTTTTTAAAAAGTTTTACATTTGTATGTGCCTTTTAAACGCACTTTCTCTATAGACTTTTGACTCTAATGAGGTTGTTTACAGCACATTGAAATGTTTTTTATTAGCTAATTGTTCATTTTTTTCCTTTAAGATCCTGAAAGTCTTTCAAGGGGTAGAGCTGGTTTAATAGCATTTTTTGTTATTATTATTATTCTCCTTCTATTCATGGGAGCACTCGTCGTTCTGTGGAAAAGAGGTATGTAGCACTTTATTTTGCTGCATTCTAAGTTTCAGTAGGATGAACATAAGCTTTTGTGCATCAAAATGCATTTTAGTTATGTAATTAATAAGCCCAGCTTCTTATATCTCTATAGGGCTGGAGGACTTGAGAACAAATTTACTTTAACTTCCTTAGGGTTAAATTCCTGGCTTTGTACACATCCCACAACAGGCACATCCTGACTGTGTGTGTGTGAATAGGTGCAGTTCTTCTGGAGCTGCTGCTTTACCAGAATCTGTGGCCACTCTGTGTCCTGTCTGCATGCGTGTCTGGGGAGTCAGCCTGTAGATCCGGGTAGTTATGTCTCTGACCGCCATCGTCCTTACAGGTGTTTGTGTGTGGACCCTCACGTGCAGTGGGTTGAACTCCCCCTTTTGGTGGAGGCTCCCTGAGTCCTGTGCAGAGAGACTGTACTGGTTTTGCTGCCAGTTAAATATTACGTGTCTGTAGCAGGAAAGACCGGACTTGGCCATTAGCCACACACACACCCCTGTCTGCTAATTACTTTTCAATTAATACTATGGGCTGAATACTGGCTTGGAAAAGAGATGTCCATTCCCGGCCACCCCTCAGAAGCAAGCACAGACATAGCGCCGATCCTAGAGGTGCTCTGTGTGTAGAGCGCTCATTGACTTCAGTGGGACTTCAGCATGCAGAGGAGCGCCAGTGCTGAGCTCATTGGCTGCAAAAGCAGCACAGAGCGCTGTTCTCATTCTGTCTGACAATGGCCTCAACAAGGACACTCTCCATGCAACTTACTCCTAGGAGGAATCAAATGATCAGTGTGTGTTTGGAGCAGGGGCTCTAGGTATGGATCTGCAAATATGTAGATATTTATTGCTTATGGACCGTATGGTCTCTCTTGGTCACTGCCCATTTGGGGCCCTTTCTCATAACAAAAGTGGAAGCCCCACGGAGATGTCTCTACGTTGGCTAGCTCGAGCCAGGATTAAGGCAGTTATCATTTGCTCTGCTGCTTCCGGTCAATTATATTTTGTCTGGTGTGCCCTTGTTGAGCCAGAATTTACCCTACTGTATGTGCCTGTCTCATTTGCAGCCTATTCTCTGCACACACACACACACCCAATTAGATTGTGAGCTCTTTGGGGCAGGGACTGTCTTGTTGGTCTGTGTTTGTATAACACCTAGCAGAATGGGTTCCTGCTCCATGACTAGGGCACTACAATAATGTCAAGAATAATAACATGACACATCAGCTTTTTTTCTTTCTTTTTTTCCCCCCTTAAGGTTTGCTTTCCAACATTCTCGATCAGATACCCACAAAGCACTCAGGTAAATGTTACGCTAACCTTATGGGCTCATTATACACTGTGTGCAGCTCTTCATAATTGAGGCTTCACAACAATATTCTTGCTGGGAACAGAATGTGTTGATGCACTGTTGTGGGTTTGTTTATGGGCCCTTGGGCTCTTGTGTTGCTGTTATGAAGATTATGGAGAGAGATGCTAAGAGATTCCGGAGACATAGACTTATAGTTCGAGAACTTTTATTTTCCCTATTGAGCCTATCTTGGGAGGACAGGACATTGGCTGGCAGGAACCCTACTCTTTGGTTGATGCTATTTAATGTGTGGTCTGTGGCTGATAAATGCCCTTCACAAGCCCTGGCTGGATGATTCATCTGGCTCTTTGCTAGCTCAGCTCCCCAGACAGGCGTTCAGTGCCTGCTAGGAGTGAATGTTAGGAACAGGTGTTGCTGTTTTGTTTGTATCAAGTTTCAAGTTGGGAGGGGGTCACTGGTGGGTCTGGGCCTAACAAGAAGGAAAGAGAGAGAGTTGTTTGGGGTAAAACATGAGAAGTGGGTTAATTTAGGAATAGGCATGGTGTACAGGGTGCCTCATTGGATTTCTGAACTTTTTCCTGAACTAAGAGAGTTCTTGTCTGCTCTGGCCCTAGGGTGACCAGGTGTCCCGATTTTATAGGGACAGTCCTGATATTCAGGGCTTTGTCTTATATAGGTGCCTATTACCCCCCACCCCCGTCATGATTTTTCACACTTGCTGTCTGGTCACCCTATCTGGCCCTGGAATTGCCCAGGCTGCTTTTGTATTTGAAAAGCAATGGGCTGGGATTATAATTGAATCTTGAGATACAAAAGCCATTCTAATGCTTCTCGGGTAGCTAGATGGATCCCCCTTGTGCTACCCTGTGTGTGAGTGGGACCATTGTCTGATGTATCGCATGGTTTGTACCTCACCACAGTCACAATTTGGTTATTCTTTGATTTTCCATTTGTGGCGGAGATACCCACACCTTCTGAGTGTTTTCTGAATGTGGTTGGGTGCAGTCCACTGCCTCTGGGGAAGGGAGAACCCCAGGACTTACTTTGTTGGATCTTCAATCAGGTCTTTTTTTTTCTTTTTTTTTCCGATGTCACAAGCAGCTCGTGATTCAAGCCAGCAAGAACTAGTGTTCTTTCCATTGGCCTGTAGTGTTGATGCATGGATCCAGAAGGGCTTCTTGGAGTTGAGTCAGGAGAGTGGCAGTGAATTGAGGTCTTGGTGTATCAGCAGGTCTGGAGTGGCCAAGGTCTTGTACTCCCAAACAACCGCAGTGTCCCATGTGATGTTGGCTGCTGCAGTACCCACGATACTGAAAGCTGCGGTATTGGCATTGATTTGAGAGAGCTGCTAACAAGACACATGTCTTAGGTGACTTTGCTGTCCACATTGGTGATGACTTTTGTGAGCTTTGCTGGAATCTGATGGTTGGCATGTCAATCATAGGCCTCTGTCACGAGATTTTGGCTCTGCACATGGGGCTGGGCACTTTGGATCCTGTTTGGAAACCGAGGGTGAAAGCTAGTCCTTTGTTAGGATCAGACCATGACCATGTGCAGTTTGAGGTCAGGGCCAATCCATGTTCCCTTCAAATTCAACAGAAGCTGATGGACCCTGCTAGGTTTCAGGTTTTTCTACGGGAGAATACTCCATAACTTGTAGCTCACTCTAGCAATGTGACAATAGGGTATTATAATCATTTTTGTCCTCACCCATTAGTACGGAGTCTCCAAAGCAGTGGTCCCCAATGCATTGCCCGTGGGTGCCATGGCACCCGCCAGGGCATCTGTGTGTGCCCGCGTACTGGCCAGCGGACAAGCATCCGCCGAAATGCTGCCGAGAAGCAGCGTCATCAAGAGGCGATGCCTCTTGATAATGCTGCTTCTTGGCAGCATTTCGGCGGATGCTTGTCCGCTGGCCATGGTCCTCGGTGGCTCATCGTCCGGTGCCCGCCAAATGGAAAAGGTTGGGGACCACTGCTCCAAAGCATTCTCTTTCTTTGCATCATCTGCTCAGATCATCTTGGTGTACATGTGACCTACACCAGATACAATATACGAAGTAGGTGTTAGGGCATCAGGCATAGAAACTGCACACTGTTCCATTGCATCACTGAGAATGTCTGAGCTGCCATGTTGAGGCTGGAATGGAGACAGAGCTTTTTCTCAACCTTTGCATTCATCTGGCGTAACTGTCCCAGGTGGTTGCAGCCTGGTGGTTCCCGGTTGCCTGCATTACGATGCTGTGAAGAATTTTCTATTTACTGAACAGTCAAGTTTGATTGGATTCAAACTGGGTGGGTTGTTTTCAGGGGGCAAACTTGTGTCTGAAAGTCGCTGATGTCCTCAGCTCCCCATCAGGGAAATGGAGACAATTATTTCCTACTTCAGAGTGGTGTTGCAAGGATAAAACCATATTGATGAGGCACTCAGGTGTTACAGTGATAAGTACATAACTAAATGGACACCCACGCCTCTTTCTGTGAACCATCATGGCAGTTTAGATCAGCTAGTGCATGTGAGTTAACAGTCTGTAGATTTTAATTTTCTGGGGAGGGGGTGGCTTGTTCTCAGTGAAGGGCCCTCAGCTTCACTTCAGCTGGTCTGACAGAGCCTAAGTTTGTTGGTTCAAGATCCATTTTTTTACTCAGCTTCTGGAGGTTGAGGTGGGTGGGTTAGAGGTGGTTCTGTTTTGTTTTTGGATCTTGTCTTTTTTTCTGTATTAGTGTAGTATTTTACTGAATTATGAGTTTCCTCCTTGATTCATATAATTGGTTTCATTTTGTGAATAAAAAATTAAATCTTGATTTGAGGTTTTTGACATTTTTATGCTGATGTGCTTTGGGATTTTTTTTATACATGCAAGTTTGTACTTCATTTGTTTAGCTGTATATAAGTCTGAAGAACAACACCTTACAGACGATGACAGATTCCCCGAAGAAAGTGGCCAAAAAGAAGGTGAGAGTCTGGAATATAATATATTTGTACCAGCCACACTGCTCATTAATGGTCTGTTAGCATTTCTCGTACAAACCCTTCTGTCTAGGGATTTATAAATCATCTGTAAAAACTGCTCCAGGCTGGAACCTGGCATACAAAGCTTCATGTCACAATTGACTTCATTGTGAGAAGGTTCAGTCCCAATGTCTCAGCTGAGGAGCAAATAAAGTTTAAGAAAAATTCATACAGATCTGCTCCACTGGAATTTTGAGTTATAAATCGGCCTATAGATAGAAATGTAGATGTAGGAATTGCGAGGCTGGATCAGACCCAGCTTTGGTGCTGATCTAGTTCAGAATGCCGTCTCTGGCAATGGCTGGTACCAGATGCTTCACGGGAAGAAAGCCCATAATGGATGGTTGATTACAGAATACTTGCCCATGGGGAAAGTTACTTCCTGACCTCATAAATCAGAGGTTGTCTGATGCCCTGAAGCATAAGGGTTTATATCCCTTCTAATTTTTATCTTGCCTAATGCCACTATAGATGGTCTCGTTATTCCTAGAAATATATTCATAGAAATACAAACACTCCCTTTTGAAAATTCTAATAATTATTAGTATTAGATAAGAAAAATTTCTACAGCTACATTGGGTGACTTGGCATGAAAGTACAGGACCACAATGAGCTTTGTTCTTTCCTGAAATGTCTTATGCTATAATTGGACAGAATTAACTCTATTAATGTTTAAACCAGAGACCGTTTTTTCTCCTCCACATGAGCATGCATCAGTTGATGCTATCATAAACATGTAAGACAACTAAGATTAAAAGAGGTACAGACACACTACAGCATAGCCTCAATATGCACCAGGTCTTGGGAGATGCTTGAAACCCCTGGCCAAGTGGGAGTACTGTAGACTCAGGTGACATGCCTGGCCCATTTTGTGAAACAGATCACTTCAAGTTTTCCAGTTCATCATTATGTGTTGCTTGTTTGCAAACGTAGCTAGACTCCAAGGCCCAGTAGCTTGCAGCAAGATTTCCTAGATGAATTTCCACGAATGCCTAGCATACACAGAGAGAAGCATCATAGAAAATACTGTAGAGAGAGTGCTTTCTCTGATTTCTCCCTCCCCACACACACACTAGTAGTTGAACAATAACTCAAATACAGTTTTTGCTCTGCCAAGATTTAATTATTTGCTTCTCTGTTTCTGCAAACAGTAGGTGGGTGGGTTAAGAGGCTAGCATTATTGGGCCTTATTCTTCTCACACTTCTATTGGGTTTTCACCTGTGTAACTTCATTGACTTCAGTGGAATTATGCCTGATTGGCTAAACTGTTTGCAGAAAAGTGTATTAGAACAATCTGTGTGCAAATTAGTTGTGAACAGACATGGATTTTTGTAAATTTGCTCATTATTCAAAATTGTTTGAGTAAGTCACACAAGCTATTGTTATGTGACCTCGTGGTCTCCTTCATGTGAATTAGCACAGGCAGGCTGAGTCCATGGAACAATGACACTGGCACGAGTGCAGTGACAGCCGGTGTACTGATTACTGGAAGAGAGTACAGAGACTGCTCCCATCCCCTCCTGCTGCGACTGCTGACTTTGTCCCCTCCAGGCAGGAAACACCCCCTGCCTTGACCTTCCTCCCAGAGTTCCTTCCAGACTCCAGAGTTCTTCCTGTCTGGGTCAGAGCCACACCTGTTAGGAGCTGAGTGCCTGTGGGGGTGTCAGCCAGCACAGTGAGGGCAGGTCTGACGCAACTGCATCGCTGTAATGAAGATGCTCTAAGCCGACAGGAGAGGTGGCAACTCTGTGAGAGGTGGTAACTATGTTGGTGTGAAAAGCTGTCCCACTGATGTGCTGTCTGCCCCGGCACGTAGGTTGGTGTAACTACATCACTCAGGGGTGTGGATTATTCACACTCCTGAGTGATGTAGTTATACTGAAGTAATTCTGTAGGGTAGACCAGGGCTAAATTTATTACGCTATTTTCTGCCAGTGGATTCCTGATAACTATTGCCTTTTTCATAGATTCATAGATTCTAGGACTGGGAGGGACCTCGAGAGGTCATCGAGTCCAGTCCCCTGCCCTCATGGCAGGACCAAATACTGTCTAGACCATCCCTGATAGACATTTATCTAACCTACTCTTAAATATCTCCAGAGATGGAGATTCCACAACCTCCCTAGGCAATTTATTCCAGTGTTTAACCACCCTGACAGTTAGGAACTTTTTCCTAATGTCCAACCTAAACCTCCCTTGCTGCAGTTTAAGCCCATTGCTTCTTGTTCTATCTGTAGAGGCTAAGGTGAACAAGTTTTTTCCCTCCTCCTTATGACACCCTTTTAGATACCTGAAAACTGCTGTCATGTCCCCTCTCAGTCTTCTCTTTTCCAAACTAAACAAACCCAATTCTTTCAGCCTTCCTTCATAGGTCATGTTCTCTAGACCTTTAATCATTCTTGTTGCGGTGCCCAGAACTGGACACAATACTCCAGTTGAGGCCTAACCAACGCAGAGTAGAGCGGAAGAATGACTTCTCGTGTCTGTCAGACATCACTCTTTCTAATTCATCCCAGAATGATGCTTGGTTTTTTTGCAACAGCATCACACTCTTGACTCATATTTAGCTTGTGGTCCACTATAACCCCTAGATCCCTTTCTGCCGTACTCCTTCCTAGACAGTCTTTTCCCATTCTGTATGTGTGAAACTGATTTTTCCTTCCTATGTGGAGCACTTTGCATTTGTCTTTATTAAACTTCATCCTGTTTACCTCAGACCATTTCTCCAATTTGTCCAGATCATTTTGAATTATGACCCTGTCCTACAAAGCAGTTGCAATCCCTCCCAGTTTGGTATCATCCGCAAACTTAATAAGCGTACTTTCTATGCCAATATGTAAGTCGTTAATGAAGATATTGAACAGAGCCGGTCCCAAAACAGACCCCTGCGGAATCCCACTTGTTATGCCTTTCCAGCAGGATTGGGAACCATTAATAACAACTCTCTGAGTACGGTTATCCAGCCAGTTATGCACCCACCTTATAGTAGCCCCATCTAAATTGTATTTGCCTAGGTTATCGATAAGAATATCATGCGAGACCATATCAAATGCCTTACTAAAGTCTAGGTATACTACATCCACAGCTTCTCCCTTATCCACAAGACTCGTTATCCAATCAAAGAAAGCTATCAGATTGGTTTGACACGATTTGTTCTTTACAAATCCATGCTGGCTATTCCCTATCACCTTACCACCGTCCAAATGTTTGCAGATGATTTCCTTAATTACTTGCTCCATTATCTTCCCTGGCACAGAAGTTAAACTAGCTGGTCTGTAGTTTCCTGGGTTGTTTTTATTTCCCTTTTTAAATGGGCACTATATTTTCCCTTTTCCAGTCTTCTGGAATCTCTCCCGTCTCCTGTGATTTTCCAAAGATAATAGCTAGAGGCTCAAATACCTTCTCTATTAGCTCCTTGAGTATTCTAGGATGCATTTCATCAGGCCCTGGTGACTTGCAGGCATCTAACTTTTCTAAGTGATTTAGAATGCCTTTTGCTACTCACTATTCACCTTGTATTGTTTGTTACCTGAATGGATGACCTTGCCTTCATAAATGACTTATGTTCCTGCCCAAAATGAATTTTATTTCTCCATGAAGAAATTACAGGGAAAGGGCAGGCATGGGCTGCATTTCAGAGCCCTGCAGACCAGGTGTTGTTCTGAGATAGCAATTTAGGTGCCCCATCCTAGAGAGTTCCATTAATTCAAGTATTAATCAATAGTAAGTTTCCTCTTTGGGTCTGTGCTTGCTGGTACTTTTGTAACAAAATGCACACATTTGCATTAGACCTCTACTGTTAGTTTTTTCCCTAAAGTCTAAATTTTTCCCTTTTGAGTTTGAGAACATTATTCCTTTTACTGTCTTAATCCCCACTGATAGTATGTGGATAAAAATGTACACCTGTGTATACATGAAGTGACCTGGCTAGGCTAGACTATGTTCTCTGTGAGGAGAGAGAGAGGCAAACCAAGACAAAAGGGATAATTTTTAAATGTTTAGAACTTTATAAGGGAAAACCCCAAAATTGTACCAGGTGCATAAATAATATAGAACATTACCAAGTACTTACTACTGATAATAATAAACTATAGGTTACCAACACATTAACCATTGTGAGCTTGTACACACTACTCTTTCTCACTCTGTGCAGCTAATACCAAATGTATTGTTATTGAAAAGAACAAAGGACATTACTCAACAATATACTAAGTGACTTCAGAGAAGAATCACCTTTTCCTCTACCTGGCTGTAAGTCCTGCTCCTCCCTTGCTGTCCTGTTCTTTGCTTCTCTTCGGTGTGTAGTGCTCCTTTGATTCGATGTACCTGTGGCTTTACTTCTTTTCAGTTTATCCACAAGAAAGGTTTCTTCATGTAGAGGGCCCTCACCTGTCCATTGGGTGTCTTTGAACTGTGTTCTTTCAACAGATATTCACACAGTCATTATCTCTGTTCATTTACTTTTTGGGCAAACTTTTTGGCCTGAGGGCGTGGCCTGGCCCCTGCCCCCTATCCAGCCTGGCCCCCCCCCCCACTGCTCCCCCGGGGCTCCTGCCCCATCCACACACCCCCGCTCCCTGTCTCCTGACCCCTCCCAGAACCCCTGCCCCTGACTGCCCCCCGCCGCACCATCCAACCCCCCGCTCCTTTCTGACTGCCCCCATTCAACCCCCCCTGTTCACCGCCCTCTGACCTCCCCGACCACTATCCACACTCCACTGCCTGGTACTCCAGGTCAGGGTACCGCTCCAGTCCCAGCACTGCTCCCCAGCCTCGCGGCACCGCTCTCCTTCTCCTTGACGCTGCTCCCTGGTGCAGCTCTGCTCCACACCACCCTGGCCCTCCCGGTATGGCTCTCGTTCCTTGGTTTTGGAGACGGGATCACAGTTTTTCAACCACGGCTGTCCTGATGTGGGGGCAGGACCATGGCAGGTGCACAGAC